CATGCTTGATAAAAAAGTCCAGTGCACCACCAAATCTATCAGAACGTGGCTCCTCCAGGGCTACGGATCAACTTGGCAAGATGAAGAAAATATTATCCATCTACCCAACCCACTCCGTGAATGCCAAAATACTGACGATAGTGATGCTATTGTCAAGTTACGGAACAAGATGACATTTTATTCTAAATTGTCGCTTGTCATCAACACTGCATTCTTACCTTTATCTACCAAGGTGGAACAAGAGGCTGTCAATTACTTAAAAAAACAGGGTAGTGATCGACTTCAAGAAAATCTTGACTTGGAGAAAAATGAAATTGTCGCCTGTGAGCATCTTTCTTTTTTTTAATTTGTTTTTTGCTGTGTTTGAATACATGATAACAAGCATATTCTTTTGCCACCCAGCACGTACTGTCAGTGTGAATACACAGGTCCATACGCATAGAGACAGGAATAACGCCTTTTTGTTTGATTCTGTTTACTTCTTTAGTAACCATCAAGGAGGAGAGTTTCTTTTGCCATCTCTTGGTGTTGTGTATCCTGGTCTCCATGGATACTTGTTTCATGGTCCATTTCAAATACTCTACCATGGTGTTGCAAAGTTGTATTTTGATGAAGCGTTGGAGGCTCCACCACAAAGATTCTCGGTTGCCATGTGGAGTCGTGAAAGTTCATTCTCTGCTATTTCCAGGTATTCAGCATATCATGAAAAGGATAACAAATTAAGTTTCTTCTGCTCCATAAATTCTACTTGATGCATTGGTTGACAGTAGTAATTTGGCTTTAGGTTAAAGTTTACAGCAAATCAAAATATTGGCTCCCTCTTTGTCCCAAATATGATAAGGATTCTGTCCAGAAATACTTTTCAAATTATCTCAAAAATTCACGCTCCAGATGAAGAGTTGTTTTTTTCTGAATTCTAATTACATCTTCAATGCTCCGGAATAATTTCCAACTTATCTCAAGAATGCCCATTGGATGAATGGTGCTTCTTGTCTTTTTATTTTATTAAATAAATCCTCCCCATCCAACTACATATAGTGGATGATCTGGAATACTTTTAGCTTAATATAGTATCATTTTATGTGGTACTTGATTGTTTTTCTTGTGCTCAAAAGTTTCCATTATAACTCACATTGAGGAAAAGTTTTGAGTTCTAAAGTTAGTGTGAAGAGGAACTGAAACCAAATCTTGATTTCTGGTGGAAGAGAAATAAAAACTCAATTTCTGGTGTTGGAGCCAAAAATATATTTTATATTTTAGAAATTAATTGGATAAAAAATGGAATTCAGTCTAAACAATTCCTCAGATTTACGTAAAAGCATTTAACTAATTTTTTTTTCAATCTTAAAGTGACCACTTTCAATGTCAGAAAGCCATTTTTCTTTATCTAATTTTAGCATATTTCCAAAACCAAGCAAAAGTGCATCTTTGCTAAGTCTTGAGCCCTCTAACTGGACAATTATTAACTCTGAATCCTTTTCTAAAATGGATTTAGCTGGATTGGCATATTTTGGAAAAGTTGCTTTGGGAAGTCTGAGGGCATTGGCTGTAAGTTGATTATTGTGTTAGTTATTTGATTACCTCCATGCAAGTTTCATAGGAAAAACTCACCCATAAGTCAATTGAGTGCAGCCCTGAGTTTCTTTTTCAAGGTATCTCCCTCTCGGAGTGGCTTTGATGAAGCTGGCCCACCTTTGATATCTTCCAAGCTGGCCTGTATTTGTCGTCCATGGCTATAAGCTTCAAATGTTTCTTTGGAATTCCATTGTTTTTTGGCAAGTGCAAGCCAGGCAGGATTGTTGGAGTACTCTTTGCAGAGGATGTTGATTCCAGGGGCTCGGGTTGCAGATAGAAGGTAATAAGTGGTGTTGTACATGTTCAAAGTAGTGTACAGCTATTTTTTTAATTTTAACAGTCAGTGAGTGGGATTTAATAAGGAAATATGGTTCTTCATAAGTTACCCACCTTGGAATTGAGCTTTAAAACATTTTTCAAAGCTTTCTTCTATACCTTGCCAGTGTTTTGACCTTTGCTTTCAGGTTGTTTTGCAGTGAATGCTTTGACTTTTTCATGGTTTACCAACGACTGGTACAGTGGTTCGGAAAAACCAATTTCTTCCGGAGTCAACTGGCCTGATGTGTTGTCATTGTCCTCTTCATCATCATATCCACATGGTATTTTCAAAAAGTGTTGGAATACCCTGGAGCCAAAGACCTCCTTCTTGTCATCTGTTAGCAAATCCCAAGCTTTACCCATCTGAATGTTCCTCTCATCCCAGCCTTCGGAAGTACCCTTGGGTGGAACTAAAGAATGTAGCTTTAGTGGATGAAATCAAGAATTGTGCAGTAGATTGAAGAAAAGACTGATTGGGATGCTTCAGACTTTCAAGGCTGAAGGCAACATAGTGGTTCCAACCACATTTCTTTCAAGGAGGCTTGTTCTCTCTACTAAAAAACAAGATGAAGGGCTGATGAGTTTCAAAGCTTTATTTGCATGAAAATAGAAAGAAGGAGTGAGACCTACAGGTATTTGTTGACAGTTTTTTCACCAATATTTCTGATGAGTGCAAGCATAAGTTTGATCTTGAGATAGTTTTGTTGAAGCAATTGTAAGGCTTCTTGCACATCAACTGGAACACGATTGGAGAGGTTTTTCTTCTGCTGCAAGGTTTTTCGAAGTTGGTTTGCTGACCAAGAGGACAATTTACTTTGAAAGTTGTCCAAGGTAAATCCAATCAAAGGTGATCCGGAGTCTGAGTCAGAGGAGGAGGAGGAGTTGGAGGTGGAGTCAGAGCTCTCTGGGTCAGGATTGTTTTGTGCTCCTTGAGTTTGGGTTGGGCTCGGAGATCGATGGCCTTGGGAGCTAGAATTGCTAGTTTGTTGCTTTTTGGACTTCGAGGATTTCTTTTTGGATAATGTTGACTTGGCAGCTGACTTCTTGGTGCGAGTGGTGGGTGGCTGTTTTCCTTGTTTATTGAAGGCTGAGATTGATGATTGAAAGCGGTTGGGTGTCTTTCTTTTGGCTTGGGATGATCGAGTTGAGGCCATTTTGAGGTTGTTGAGTGGGGTGAGTTGAAATGGAAGGGGTGTTTGGAGCTGTTTTGAGCTTAGAAGTTTGGTTGGGGGATGGGTGGAGCTGGCTTGAGTCGAGGTGGTATGAAGCTGGGGGTTGACTGGGGATGGTTGGGGCTGGCTTGGTTTGAAGAGGTAGCTGTTTTTCAAGGGTTAGGTTTCAACTTGGCTGTGGACCTCCAGTGTGAAAGCTGGGTTGAGCTGGCTCATGCTGTGTGAGCTGAATGAATCTGGCAGTGCATCTCAGCTGCAGCTGGTTTGAGCTGGGAGGTCACCTCAGCTACAGCTGGATTGAGCTGGCGGCTCAACTCAGTTGTAGCTGGATTGAGCTGGGAGCCAATCTGAGCTGCAGAACGATTGAGCTGGGAGCCAATCTGAGATGCAGAACGATTGAGCTGGGAGCCAATCTGAGATGCAGCTGCATTGAGCTGGTGGCTCAACTCAGCTGGAGCTGGAATGAGCTGTGATTTTCATTCACGTGTGAAGTGGAGCTGGATTGAGCTGTTTTCATTCACAGCGTGAAGTGGAGCTGGATTGAGCTGTTTTCATTCACAGTGGGTAGTGGAGCTAGATTGAGCTGTTTTCATTCACAGTGTGTAGTGCAGCTGAATTGAGCTTAAATTTTGATTCACAGTGTGTAGTGGATCTGGAATGAGCTGGCAGCTCACATCAGCTGGAGCTGGATTGAGCTGTGGTTTTCATCCACAGTGTGTAGTGGAGCTGGAATGAGCTGGAAGCTCAACTCAGCTGGAGCTGGAATGAGCTGGAAGCTCAACTCAGCTGGAGCTGGAATGAGCTGGAAGCTCAACTCAGCTGGAGCTGGATTGAGCTGGCAGCTCAACTCAGCTGGAGCTGGATTGAGCTTAAATTTTCATGGTGTCACAGTGTGTAGTGGAGCTGGATTTAGCCATATTTTTCATTCACAGTATGTCAAGATGGATTGAGCTGGCAGCTCAACTCAGCTGGAGCTGGATTGAGCTGGCAGCTCAACTCAGCTGGAGCTGGATTGAGCTGAATTTTTCATTCACAATAAATTTTGTTGATGTAGAACTATTTCACAAAGAGAAAAAAAACTGTGATTTTGATTGATTTTGGGTCAGTTGGGCTGAGCTGAGCTGGCTCAGGCTGGAATCCGGTTCCAAACCGAAGATGCTGTCACCTGGATCTTTGGTTTGGAACCAAGTTTTTGGATGTCCACAGGTGGAAAAAGGTGTTACTCCTGGTAGAAAAATTTTGAGAAGCTGTTTATATTTGTTTTTCAGATATCTTGACTATGATGAAAAAATCATTCAATTCATTGAATCAGAGCCCTTGCTTATCCAACCTTTTTGGTTGATTTTTTCACCACAATACAAGCTCACAAAACTCAATGTTTAAATAATTCAATGATGGGGGACCTGGGTTGGAAATTTTGCATGTTCAAATTTCTTATCTCCACTAACTACACTGATTTGTGCTATATTGAATTCTTTGATATCTAGTTTGACATGTGGCTATGACTTTGAGAAAAATGTGTAATCAGGTAGTTTTTTCTGAAATCCACAACCAAAATGCTGGAAATAATTTCTTTCCTCTCTCTTATTTGGAATTTGAGAAAGTGTTAAGTCAATCAGGTATGTTTGATAAATTTCAGTAGATTTGTCAATATTCTGTGTGTGTGCATTGGGGGGAGGAGGGGTGGCTCAGGGTGAGAGACATTAGATTCCTCATTTTTGAATTGCATTTCCCCATATGTGCTCCAATCAACAAGACACCACTGACCTAATTATTTCCTGTTCCAAGTAAATCCTTTCATGTGAATCAAAAGATCATCTAAATTTCCATTGGAAATATATATATAGTCTGACTGTAAAAAGCTGCTGTGGAATTTACCTTGAGGATGAGTGATGTCAGGACATTAATTCAAGTGTTGCAGAAGTGTTTTGAAGATAGTGGCAACATTGAATTAAAATAAAGGTCATCATGTAGGAATTGGGACCACCAACAGGTTGATGTGATTACTGGTCTAGAGAAAGGGTTAGTGAGTTGGTTGCTTCTACATTGGTTTAGGTTAAGTATTTACACTTTAGGTAAGTCTTGTCTACGAGTGCTGCATTAGCCATAGATTTTGGTTCCCAAGGCTCTTTTTTTCCTGGATTGATCCCTGCCCAATCAATGTAGTACTTTCCACCCTTCTCCTCTAATATCTCAATTGCCTCCCAAAATTTCCCTTGACCTGTTTTTCTCTCCATTCTTATAAGGTTAGGGGGGCTATAAGGGCCTATTTTTCAATTGTAAAATGGAATCTGATCACCTTCAATGATTTTTTATTTCTCCTAGTGTGGCTGAACATTCGAGGATTGATGGGCTGAGCTGGATGGAAAGTCTTTGGCAGGTGGGCTGGGGAAATTTAGTCAAATATCCAGTCAAACACATGTGACTCCAGCCAGCCAAAGCCAATCCAACACACACATTAGATTAAATCACCAAGGATGGATATATTTCCATTGCAAAGGTTTGTTGTCTTATGTGAAGCTTGTGCTGATTATCCAGTTTTAATAGGATATGTAAATTCCTCACACTTGGTAATGGCAGTGTGAGGGAGACTGTTCAGACAATCCACATTGCAAGTGTCACATCTATCAGTCAAAGATGGTTGGACAAGCCCCCAAGACACTTGAATTCAAGCTGGATCCAAGTGTGCAAAATTTTGAAGGCTTTGCCTATCTCTCCAATTGCAAAACTTGACATTCTCACTTCATCAAGAGACCCAACAATGGAGATCTTGACCCCAGGACAATGGCCCAATTTTTCCTGAAATATTTGTTCCTAGTATTTGAATGTCACTCCAAAGTAAGTCAATAGTTTTTAGTCGTGCCCCTAATTCTTCCAGCAACTTACCATGACCATGATATTTTATGTAGTGTGGGTGTGGCCCTGATTGTGTCAATAGGGTAAGATTTCTCTATTTAATGAGATTCAAACACTGTTTGCACACAATTATAATACTATTTGAATGCTTTAGACAGTTGACAGGGGCTGTTGAGATCAATTGTCCATTCAGAAGACATTTTCACAAGGCTGGGGTTAGTAGCTCACTTGATCCCAAAGCACCAAAAAATGCAGCTGATCTGATTTATGAACACTGCTTTTAGGTGTTTTTGCTGACCATCCAATTCCCCCTGGCTGACTTGTCACACATTACAGGTGAGCTACCTTTTTTCCTTATTTGATTGGTTCCCAATGTAGTACTGACCAATTAGAGATGGCCCTGCGCGATGCAGATATCCCCTCCGTTTTCAGTGGAATGCCACATCCGCATCCGCACCCGCTGGTGGGTATCCATCAGTGATGAAATTTAAACCAAAGAGGCGGATAATCTTTTTAAGATGAGAAAAGTTTTTGGGCAACAAAAAATGATTTTTGTTGGAAAGACTCAAGGGTCGTGGAAAAGAAGGTGAGAGCCAATGACTTTTTAATTGCTAGTAGATACTATGTGTTGAATAGACTACGTACAACAAGTTCAATCTGTGGTTGAGAGAAATTGGATATCAAAATGAACAACAAAGATTAAACAAATGCTTAAGAGATAATTGGAGCAAATGATAGTTGATAAAGACAAGACCAGGGTTCAAAGACTACAAGGATTTCAGCACTAGACAACTTGACAAGATACCACGCAAAGACCAACAAAAACAGAGAAAAATCATGTGTACTATTTATCTATACATGATCAATTTTAAAGATGAGATAGATGGGTTTTTTAGGGATGAGAAGAAAAGAGACAAAATTTCGGTTATCCACGTATACCCTCCCTTTAAATGGGGGGCAAGGCAGCTGGCTGAAATTGTACATATACCTTGCTGGCTGGAATTGGCCTTATGCACCAGGGTTTTGGGGAAAAGGGGCCATCCGCACCCAAATCTGTTGGGATAGATGGTATGTGTATATCCATTACAGTATGCTTCAACTATAGATATTCATTATTCATTATGCTTTGTGTTTAGTCCATCTGATCTCTGATCCAGGAGCTCTCTCCTCACTGAATACAAACCATATTATCTTAAGTGTCAGCTCCCAGTGTCACAAGAAATAGTCTGTGAACCTCAATCCTTGCAACCCTGTGCCTGTCAACAAAATCTGCACCCACTGGGGGTATGCATTGGGGCTGGCGGGATCCGCCAGCGGATAACAGATATCCACAACGGATATCCAGAGACCATCTCTAATCAAGATGGGACATCAACAGTGGAAAGCTGATTACCAACACAATGGCTGATGAGAGTGGTGATAGTAAGTATGATCAAATCAGCGGAACTTACCTATTTGCTCTTGATCCATGGTGGCTGTTCATATACCTCCTTCCCTAAATCCACTTTTGGGAGTGGCAGTAGGAACCTTTCATATGCTTTAACACTGAGATAATTTTTGAAAGTAAAGTGTTGCGGTATTTAGACATTCAGCTTAGAGGAAGAAATGGTTCATGAGCTGAGGTATATATGTGGAAAATTTCAATGATCATTTTATGGGTCAGTCTATTGAAAATTGCGGAGAGTTTATGTGTTTTTTATTTTGAAAAACATTTCCCAAAATAAACTAACTGTATCAAGATCAAAAAAGTAGTTTATCTTGATCAAAATTAACAAATTTATGGAGATCAAAATCAACCAATTTTATGAAGATCAACGTTGCTTGAGCTTATAAATATAGAATCCATCTGGAACAGGGTTAAGTATTTCAAAATGGTAATCAATGTGCAGTATAAAATAATCTTCAGTCTGTTCTGTGACAGAATCTCCAATTGTAGGATTCAGAAAGTATTTATGTGGGGTTACTCTAATTTTTATTCCTTCATAGCTAGCTATTAATAAGATCACACTATAGCACCTTGATAAAATCTGAATTGCTGTTGAGTCTCCCCATCCCACATGAGTTCTGATTTGTACAATATTTTCAATCCATGTTTTAATATCTTGATCTTCTCCAAGAAGAGTTTAGACCCACTCTTTGTAGTTGTTGACATATTATTTTGTAACTGCACATAATTTTTTGTGACCTTGTTGGCTTCCAAACATCTATATCAAAATGGCACAAAACAAACAAAGTCCATCTCCTTCAATATTGTTACTTGTGTGGCTGACTGGAATTTGATGTGTTGGTGGCTTCACATAATTTAAGGCTTCAATCCGTCCATGTTGACTAAATGCTTATGTGAGTTTGTGCTTTTCAGGTATTCAATGATTGAGTTGTGTATTGCCTTAATCCAGCTTGACTCTATCATATGTTTCTTCTACAAAAGTAATAAAATCCCAGAGGCTAGAATGAGTGAAAAAATTACATCATGGTGCAATTTTTTTTAGTTTGAATATTGAAGATACTCAATCTATGTATTGATCAGGCTATTAATTATTGATTAAAACTTGATGGTACCTTTTTTGTATCTTAGCTCAAGAAGGGGCATCATAGGAAGAAGAATATTAGTGAAAACACCAAAATTCAGAGACTCTCCTAGTGAAAGTAAAACATACCTGTGCACTGTAGTACTGTTCCTTATTTCCTTTTGGAGCTCAAGTTCATATTGTGTTCTGTCTACAGGTAAAAGCCATCCATCTCATCAGCCCTTTCCAACTCAATCAATATTTCCCCAGGAGGCTTACCTTCAAATAGTTATCTGTCTAAAAATCACCAAAAAAGCCATAATTAGTATCATTCTGCTTTTGTAATGTTTGTTATGTTTTAGGTTGGATCACCTCATGCCAAAAAGTCTTGTATTCATCCCAAAATTCAAAACCACTATGAACAATTGTTCACTTTTTTAAAGTAACATTTATATTAATATTACATGGTTCAACAATCATTGAATGATATATCAGTATATTGTCTTTAATTTAATCCCACTCCAAAGTTTGAGTGATGTACACTCCATGTGGGGATCTGTTCAGTCACCCCCATATAGTATAGCAAGGGTGAAAATTTGGGTCAGCCAAGGTTAAGTGTAGTCCACCCCAGCTAATTAAGATATTTGGCAGTTTTGATGGTAGGTATTCAGCAAAAAGCTTGATGGAATGAGAAAAAATCACTGATAACATTTATCCACTTTTCATTGCAACTTTCTTGTGGTAAGGCCTTCAAAAACAGGGGTCAAATTTGTTTCTTTACAGAACTTGTCATCCTATTTACTTGGCTCTTGTTAAGGGATAAATCAAATTGAAGAGTACAGTTGCCGACAGCATAAACCAACCCTGCCCCGCCCGCAAAATTCAAAATTGACACGCGGAGCCTATCCTTGGGGGGGGGGGGAATATACCCTCGCACTAAATTTTATTATGGTTTTGGACTTGTACGCTGTAGTGTGCCAATTGTGTTTCAAGTGTCAAAGTACATAAATTCTTGAATCATCTTTGATAAGGAGCTTTATTATTGGTTTTATTATTGCATTTTTGAATTCTACATCACATTTAACCTATAGTCAATCGCTGGAACCACTAGGCTAGCTCAACTCAGCTCAGAAAGTTATTTAGAAATTTAAGGTTATGATAGAATATGATTACAAAGCGTAGTGGTACATTGGTAGTGCATAGTATAGATTTAGAGCTAGGTAAATGGTTAGGGCTGGAACCACAAGCCAACCGTTGCGTAAATAGACTATATAAGCAGGCCTTTTGGCCCCCCTCAGTTCAAGTTCCTCATGCAATCCCAGCATCAACATATATCTCACTTGGAGATTTCAACCCATTCATAGGGGTGATCTCAAACAAGTATCTCATTATCACACAGCCTGGCCAGCTGGTGATCATCATCATCAACCCCCCCCCCCCTCCTTCTTCAACACCTGTGATCTTAATCAGGTTCTTAGATAGCTTGTCTCATAGCATTTCATATATATCAATTGATCTAGGTCTGATAGAGACTACTACATAAAGCTTTCTCTATAAAGGTTTTGGCAAATCAATATGTAAATTTTTGTTGTTGGAATTCTTGTGTAGTACAATAGAGGGGCTCTTTCAAACCACCCGTAACAATGTATATCAAACAAGTGCAATATCATATTTGTTATTTCCCCCTCACAGGACTTCCACCATTCCCAAAGGAGTTCTATGAATTGGTGAATGCTCTACAGTATGTTCAAAGCATTTCAAAGGCTAAAAAAAAGCCTGAAAGTCTGAAAAAAAAAACCTGATTTTTTGGCTCACCAATTTGGACATCCAAAAAATCCTGGGTCAGTCTATGCCGTCCACAACAGTGGGCCGCTACACTAACTGTAGCAGTTAGTGTAGCGTAACGCAGCAGAATCGCTGTTAGCAATTAGCGTAGCGTAGCGGAATTCCGCCACGACACCGCTAACGCTACGCGTGTGGGCCGCAAAAAAGGGCCCACTACGCTGCGCTACAGCGGTTTTTAGCGGTTTTTGGCCGCTTTTTCCGCTAAAAGTGCTGTAGTGCAGCGTAGCGTAGCAAAAAACTGCTAACACTATGGTTTTTGGATGGAAAAAAAGCGCCGCTACGCTATGCTTTTTGGGCCAAAAGCGTAGCGGCCCACCGCTACCATTCACAACTGTATGGCTTAGAATTTTAGATTCCTATCTTTCCTAATATTTTGTGATTTTCAACAAAATCACTCCATGAGATCTGACTAAATGATTTCAAATCCAGAGCTTATATCCTTTTCAATTTAAGCTTCAATGAAAATATGAGCTCACCTGGAGATTTTTTAGATCAAGAAAAATCCAACCAGTTCTCATTCATCAAAATTTCATGGGAAAACCTCAAAATCTACTATCAGTCTCTGTGTAACTAGCCTGATGTTTTAGCAGAGGCTGTTATTCTGAGTGTTAATGATAAATAGTTTTGTCGTAAAGTTTCAATTAGTGGTTGGCTAAAACCAGTCCTATAATTATGAGGATGTTTCACTCTTTCAGAAAATTTTGGACTGAGAGGCTTGATACTGTAAGTACAGTCACCTACCAGATGTTTATAGCCAGTTTGTTTGGATCACACAACCCCAACACACTAACTTGAAGACATGACACTGGGGCAAGTGGTATAAAATATGTTTCAAAAAATTATTCTGAAAACAAAAATACAAAAAACTAATTTTTAAAATTTGCAGAAAATATTACAGTTATTTCACTTGTTTCAGAAGTTTTCATATTGCTCCAAATGAAAAAATAAAAATATGAAGTTGGAGTAGGGTATGCTGGAGGAATGATAATAAATGAAAATTTGAAAAAATAAATACAAGACAGTTTTCAACTGGTGTGGAGTGAGGCATTCACCAGACTCACAGTGGAAAATACAATGGAAAAGGCAGTGTAATCAAATTCCACTTGCATTTTGACCTGGATACTGAGCTCTGAATAATTTCTGGAGTTTTTTTTCATTTATTATCATTTACCTTGCATACCATACTACTCTTTCCGATTTTTATTTTAGCATTTGGAGCAATATTGAAACTTTTGAAAAAAGTGCAACAATTGTAATATTTTTTGAAAGTTTCAAAAATCAGTTTTTCATTCTTTTGTTTATAGGATCATTTTTTGAAACCTATTTTATACCACTTGCCCATGTGTCATGATTTCAAGTTGGTAGGTTGGGGCTGTGTAATCCAAACAAACTGGCTATAAACATCTGGTAGGTGACTGTACATCCAAATTAAGACTGTATATTAATAGGCATTCAGGGTACAGAACTCACCTGTATTTTTATTACCAAAAGGTTAAAAATAAAAAAATTGTATTTATAAGATAATTTTTGAAGTTTAGTTTGTTGAAAACCACATTGTCTAGAGATGGCACTTTGTCCACTTTTGGGGGGTACCTGCCAGTCCCCATTCATGGAAGTGGAGCAATATCCAGTACTGCACAACTAGTGAATTTTGGTGTGCAGGGAATGTTCTGAAGTGTGGCAGGTACCCCCAAAAAGATTCCAAATTGACATCTCCAGCACTATCCTCCTCCCACTTTCCTGCTCCTGGTCCGCTCTAGAAGGACTCTCACTAATAGGCTTAATTAAGCTTGCAAATACAAGCAAGTTGAATCCCTACACCATAAGTGTGTCCAAATTTCTGAATTGGCTTATATTTCCATGAGTTAATTTAGTGTAACGGTTCAATGATCACTTCACAGGATGGGATATATCTTGATAGATGTACCTGCGTCCAAGTGTCCTTCACTAGAAGAAAAATTCAGGAAATTTCTACCAGTTGACATGCAGCATGCTCCAATAAAGCCTCAATGAAAACTAAGGTCATTGTGTTGACATACTTGAGTGGTACTACCCAGTGGATTCAAAGGGGTGAACCAGAACAATGTAGAATAAAAGTCCAAGTTTGAATCAAGTTCAGTAAAGAGTATGGTGTGAGCTCTTGCATGTCAACTGCCACCAGTTGCTTGACATTTTCTTGGAGTGCTTGGTTTCTTATTCTATACCTATGGAATAACTAAGTACATATTCTCTCTGTATGTATTTTCTGCAATGAGATAATTCTACATATGGTTAAGGCCCTGTTTGGTAGCGTCATAAATTCAAGTATAATATTGCCTTATATATTCAATATAAAATAAATCACTCAGAAATAGGTAATGTAATTTTGACTGGGGCAAGGTCAACTAATGATTTTAATTTTGGAACAGAAAAATTTGAGATAATGGCCTATCTTCAGCACCATAATACCAATATTACACTTTTTATCCATATAAAGGGTAATATCAATATTATGGGGATCAAGATGGCCTGAGATATCAAGTTTGTTCTCAGCATTGATGAAACCAGTAATTGAACTTACCCGAGTAACAATTTTGAAACATATTTTGCATTGGTTTGTTTTTAATGGAATTAATCAGGCAATATTACACCTAAATTTATGACGCTGCCAAACGGGGCCTAAGTTTATTTGCTGCGGGTACCCAGGTTTGAAGTGACATCTCTAGACATGACACTTTGTTTCATCCAAGAGAGTCAAGTCTCATATCACCTGAAGAAACAAACATTCCATACAAGGTGAGGCATATCATTATATGTTATACAATGGTAGAAATGCAAATCAAAGAAAAATCAATGCCATACAATCAAGACTTTTACAACAGAAATGAAAATGATTCAAAATTATTATTTCTTGTTATGTTTGTGTTTATGTTTATTTGTTATTTGTTATTGATTTAATTTTTGGTGAAGGGTAGGGCAACATGAGTTGATTGAGACAATATTAATTATCATCATCATCATCATTCAAGAAGTTGTTTCGTTGTTGCTGTTCGACCTCATACCGGGCCTGAACTAAATTACCTAGGTCTTGATCATCATCTAATTCAAATCCTTGATCTCCAAAGTAAGACAACATTACTGGTAGAAGTATTAATCCATGTAATCCCCCTGAAATTATGAGTATCAGCCACATCTTGAAGAAATATGTCTGTTTTGCAAAAAAAAATAAATAAATAAATAAGTGGGTTACTCTCATTTTTCTGTAGTATACCCTTCTATATGAATACCACACACCTCTAATAATTTAGACTTTGTCAAACCCAAAACAGCAATCCCAATTATTTTAGTTGAAAAAATGCCAGCAAAGACCTAACAAAAGGAGGTTGAGTAAGCCAGCAAAAAAATGTTTTAATGGGGGGATCAACAGTTGTGAGGAGACTGACAGATGACCCGACTTCGCTCATAGCAATCGTGATCCTTTCGTCCCTATCCCTTTGAGCAAGGTGGTGTCTTTTGGGCAATCCACCACCGTTAGCACCAGTGAAAGCTCTAACGATATGCGAACAGAATTCCACACCGATCCCGACACCAATGACCAAGTTGACTAAGCTGATTGCATTCAAGTCGACTTTCCATACGGCCATCCCTCCGATCATGTTTGCAATGATCATGAAGACGTTGATGCACATGATCCCTCCCGTTTGCCAGGATCCCAAGAGGATGCTAGAAACTATGAAGACGGCCGACAGGGCAAGTAAGATGACTTCCTTAGAGGTCGTCAAGATCCGGGCGTATTGTTCAAAAAATACATAAAAGATCGAGTATGGATAAACCTTCCCTCCGGTTCGTTTGGATAAGTCTTCTGAGATCCTGATGGCGGAAGTCATGGCGTTGATGTAGTCTGACTGTTGTTTCAAGGGAGTATGGTATGTACGAAAGTGAGAAGCCTGGACACTATCATTGCCCTTTGAAAGGTCGATGGCATTGTAATATGAGGCCTTGCCTCCCAACGGACACGCATCAGTCGTAGGGGAGTCCAACCAGTGTTGAAGATATTTCATAAAATTGTGTCCCTCAGGCAAGCCGGTCATGGTGATATTCCAAGGTGGTTGTTTACCTTGGAAACATGGCTGACAATCTCTGTCTCGATCTCTGTCGGTACAGAATACTTCTGGATTTGTCTTCCTCACTCTGCAACAAGATTCTAGGGTTGGATTAAGCCAGTGAAGGAAGTCGTCAATCCAAACCGCCGACGGCTGAGCTATGAAAGACGATTCCGGTCGCTTCCGCTCTGCTTCCAGGACGTTGGCCAGTGATAGGGCTTGGCAAGTAGAGAAACGGCCACAGAGGGTTTGCTGACCATCTCGCGTTCTTGGGTCGACATCTTGAGCTACAAAGTAAACCGGGGGACCAATCTCAAAGAATTCATCTAGAGCGTTGAAGTAATCCACCAAATGTGAATCCCGGGGCAATGCCAATCGTTGGTCTAGAGGATATCAGACAAAACCACATGATCAATAAACTTAGGTCGGACGCGTATAAAAAGGGGCAGGAACAACTTACCTAGGCCAAGTTCTATTCTTTTGGAACAAAGAGCTGAGAAGACAAATATGCCCGAAAATACACTGAGCACCAGAATCTTTATTTTTCTTTTCATCAAAAATGGCATGTATATTGTGCGGAAGAAGCGAGCCAAGTCCCCTTCTCCAGATGCGGTCGCCAGATCGGAAAGAGAAGTCGAAGTCGCTACATGGATACACGGAAGGCAGTCCATTTTGTTAAGCTGTTTGTTTTAAAAAAGAATGTATGGTCAAAGTCAATCAATTTGGTTAAAAAGAATATTACAGAGACAGAAGAGACCAAAGAAGAGTGATTACCTCCATCCTGTGCAGGTCAATGGCCATTGCGCTAACAAAGACCGTCATTTGGAGAAGGGTATTAATGATCACAGCACCGGCTGCGTAGATTGCAAAGTTTCGGACGGCCGGCATTCCAACGATCGCCCCGAGAGCAAAGGCCAGGGCCTCACATGATGCACTGAGTAGGACGGATGGCCCCATCCGACTGGTTGCCCGCGCGATACGAATCTCGACTGACGGTAAGCCATCCACATCATCTTCGTCTTCATTGACCAAAAGGCCCTCCATCCCATTGAAGCCAAGGCCCCCACGAGCAAGGGAGGCGTAAGCCTTGGAGTTTTGTCGGGAAACCTCATTGGCCAAAATGAAGACGTTGTCGACCCCAATGGCTAGTACAAGAAAGGGGATTACTTCGGCAATGATCAAAGTGATTTTGATGCCAAGGAGGGAGAATAATCCAACAGACGTCGAAACCGACAAGAGAACAATCAATATACTCCAAAGAGCAAGGCTGAATTTCGACTCGACTAGCAATTGTCGTGTGAGCGAGGTAGATCGCGTATGAGCTGTCGGAAACACCGAGTTGGGGTCATTTCCTGGAAGTCGGTACACTTGACGTATCAGTACTTTCGCCAGCGTCATGATTCCACGGAAGATTGCTGATAGAATGACGATACCACTGCCACCAAGATTGATGGCTACATAAAGGAACATGGCGAGGTAGCTTAGGACCACGATTGGGAAATCGGTATTGGTAGACTTATTGATTTCGCCCTCAAGGGAAATTTCTGTTGACCAAGCCATATTCATTCCTAAGCTTTGAGGATCTTTGATTTGCTGGGACTTTCCGGCGGTAATTTGTTCCAAGAAGCCTTTCAATGTTGTTTCCCATTCCTTAACTTGTTCCAGCTCGTCAGATTCCAAGTGGTTATTCACCACATACGTGATGATGGCGGCCTTGGCTTCACTCGCTTCCACTTCGGCGGAGGTCGTATCATTGGAGGCTCTGAGACCACCAAGAACCATCTTGGGATTGAGCGGTGAGCCGAAGGGAGGTAAACAACTAGCCGGAGCACTCGCACACTCATTCAACCTGTCAGACCAGTTATGATCATTGATTCCCTTGAGTGAGTTGCCAAAGTATCCCATGATTGACTCTACGACACAATCGGAGGATGATTTGGGAGGTTGAGATGTTGCGGTAGGTGCCAAACAGACCGAAGCCAAACTGAGACCTGAATTAGATTGAAGATTCCGAACGCCTTCTTCTAAAGCGGCTATCCATTTTAGTCGTTCGTAGTTTAGCACGGGTTGATCAGGTTGAGCGGCAGAAAGGAAGATCTGCTCGGTGCGGTAAAACGGGCCAAATCGGCTTTCGAAATCGACTTTATCAGCAGCACTTTTACTTCCTGAAGCAGCCCAGAGTTTAACGGGATCCTTTTCAACTTCGAACTTGGACCATCCCAGATTCAAGAACCCACAAAGGAGGAAGGCTATGGTGATCGTCAGATAAGGTTTCGAAGAGCAGGCGTATCCGATATGATAAAAGACCCGACTGAGAAAGACGTTTAAGGGGTATGATCGAGGTTGATGTTGAATGCCAAGAAGTCGTATGTCCGCGTCAGTCATTAACGACGAGCCTCGGGTGAGTCGATGATGGGCAAAGAATGAATGGCTGGTGGGTGATAGTGATGTAACCGACCGGGAAGCCACAGGCCCCTCTGCGTCTGCCATCGAGGAAGCCCCGATCAGTGGGTTTATCGTTTGACCAGGATGATCTGGGTTTTCGTGTTCTCTTTCGGGTGAATCAGATAATTCGGAGCCACTGGGAGCTAGAGGGTCATGCATGCTAACACGTTCGTATCCACTGGGTGTCTCATACCCACTATAGTTCTCGCCATTCCGACTGGTAGCCAAGTGAATCTTCCGACGCCTCATGACTTCTTTCCATGTGATATAAATTAGAGCACCCGATAGAGCCAGCGAATACAGGAAGATCCAAAAGAAGTCTCCGCACTTCAACTGCCCGATGTGACAGTTATTCGAAGGGGTGGTTGGAATGAACAAGGGCGGCGCAGGTGGAAGTGAGGCGCATACCGCAGGACAATCCGAACAAGCGCAACGAGCGTCTAGGGCCGTCGAGTCACATCTATAAGGCTCAGGGTTGAGAGGGGTGAGGGTTGAATTGGTGGGGACTGCAGAGGTTTTTGAGCTTGAATCTAGTTTCAAGAGCAACTGAAGAGAATCGTCTCGCGGGTCGCTGGATACCGAGTGGGTTGGAAAGTTGATTTGAAACGGGCTACCTAGTCCTGGTTTTTCATCGCCCATATATTGCAAGAACTTATTCCAAGTCTTAGCTCCACCGCCGATCAAATCCATGACGTATCCATTGGTCGCCCCAAACTTGACTTCCTTGCAGCTATCAAAGAATGCATTTCCGAAACGTGGGTCTACCCAAAAATCTACGGCTTTGACGGCCGGATTAATTTTCCCAGTCTTGGAATTTTTGACTGGTTGAGTTGATGTGATGTTAAGGAAAGTTGCTTGGTCGGGTGAACAGGTAAAGTGACAATAGAACTCTCGAAAGTTGTTACGACAGGCCGGACAAGATGAGATTAGAGGTTCTGCTTGTGAGATCGATTGCGAGAGGTCTTCGAGTTGATCTTTCGTACAGCAAGCCGTCTCCAAGTTTGTGAATTGACTACCACAAATCCGACCGAGTGCTGACTGAAGATCGGGAGTAGTCTAAAACGGTAGCAACGAAGATTTCAGAAAAAATCATACTAGGGAATCTCAGGATCAGAGGGTGCGAATGGGAAGCTGAGCGTACCTTCCGAGCAGGTTGATCATCCGGACATGGTAACTCTTGACCGAATATGCCTTTCTTTCCGCAACGATCGTACATAGCGCATCGTCCAAGCTGAGAAGGAGGGCCTGATGAAACATGCTGTTTTTTCTTCCCCATGATTTGTTGTTCGTTGGATGTGAACGGTCGGTTGAAGGTGATCTTGATGACTGGACAGTGGAGGGTGGTTGATTGGAATGGGCAGGCCGAAGGCGGTCTTGGCGGGTGATTTGCTCGCGGTGGTAGTCGGCCGGAGACTGTCACAGGTGGATGTAGGTGTGACACCTACGTGTAATTCATGGATCTGCCAAAAAACACTCTCAGAAATTAGAATGGCTTCTCAAAAAACCCCCTGCATTAAACAAGACATGAGTCTTCTATGGACTATCTTCGAATAGGAAATCATTTGGAGTCTTTTGAGGCACTATCGCTTCTGTGGGAATGCTGCACAAGAAAGATACAAGTTATAACTCAAATTGTAATTTCAACTTGTAGTGATCCATTTATCTCACCAACCATGTGAATAAAGAATGATCATGAAATCTTGCAATTTGACTTTAATGACCCGACACATTTTGATCCCCTCTTGATTATGGCCAAGATAAATACATGTATATCATTATCCAAGCAACTCTTGTTGAGTGATCTAATCCAGAGTTCAGAATAAATATACCTTCTTCAAATGTGAAGATTATTAAGCCACCTACTGAATAAGATATGATTGATTGGGATAAACTTAAATGTGTATAATTTTAAAGATCAGGGAATAAAGAAAAGGCTTGAAAAACCAGTCTGACATGTAATTGGAAGGTTTTTGAAACTGTGTCTGAAAATCAATTTTTCTTTAGTTTATTAACTTGACTTGATCAGCTGCACTTGATTTTCATGAATTCATTTCAGGAATTGATCTACTACCTTGACTAACAATAATTTTTGAAATTAATTTTAATTTTTTTTTGGTTGATTGGATTTGAATTCAAGCTCTAGACTGCAGCAACTAAAAAGAATGTACATTTGCAATGGCTAATGAAAAATATTGTTCATTCTCAATCTCACACAGTACTCCCTTTCTCTAAGAAGATCATGTTTTCCAAATTGCTATGTAGTATTATGTGTGGGAATTTTCTTTTGTTTTCACTACTATGTATGTTGCTTTTTTGTATGATTTCTAAAATTCATCTTGATTGTATCTAACCTTGATTCTAATCCTTTTGTCTGATGACTCATTTGTTCAATTGCTTTTTTGAATTATAGACTCACTTAGTCTTACTTTTGGCTTCAACTTCTTGTTTATTATTTGCCTTGGTTTTGTAATGTTCAATCATTTAATTTATTTGTGCTAGTCATATTTTCAAAGATATACTGACATCAATAAAGCTTTTAAGATACCATTTATATATTTGGCAAATCAAAAAAATATTCAAATTGATACCAGACAATATGGGATTTCCAAAAATAAGTGAATTTCATATCTTCTATTGATAAACCGAACACTTTCACTTTCACCTTTGTATCATGTACATTGATCTATTCGGTCATCAGCTCAAAGTATTCTTTCAGCTTTTTACAATCTTTTCAATGCAAGGCTGTGATGGAAAAAAATGCAAGAGAAAAAAAGGAACAAATCAACCAAAAGCCAAGGCAATACAAGCAAGCTCTATTTTATTTTGTTCTGATGTGTCAAAGATGGACAACTGAACAATACCAGGATGAAGAATCAATCTACTTGGTGCTTTGGATTTTTAAAAAAAGGCTGAACTAGGCTTGACTGTTGAGATCATCAGCGTTGAGGTTGGAAGCCTGGATTTTGCCTTGAAGATGATCGACGCTTGCGATGGATTTGATTGATTTAGACTGGCTGGTGATTTCGACAGTAGTGATTGAACAATTAGCAAAGCTGCAATCCCCCGAGTAATCCGTTGGAGTTTGATAACCTAGACGGTTGATCAATCCTGATTCGATTAACGATCGTAGTGCTCCACCATGACTGACAATCAAAACTCGATCGGTGTTGGGACTGTTGATGATCTGATCATTCCAAAAATCTAGTAATCTTGAGAGTACTGAGTGAGGCGGTTCTGCGGATTGTGAGTTGACTCGACTGTTTCTAGGTTCTCTTGGTTTACCTTCCAAGTCACCTAAGAACTAGGATGATTTCAAATGAGCTGATCGGCAGCGCAAAAAAAAAATTGATTACAATTACTGTGAGGTGACTGAACTCTTTCTCGTAACCGTGGGTCGGTTTTTAGGGATGGTGGATCCTTGATTTGTTCAGAGATTACTTGGGCTGTCTGTTTTCGAAGAATAGTAAAGGAAGTGACCGATTTGGATCAGTCTCATGATGACCGCCTATGTTGTTACATTTTTGTTTGTAATACACGAATCGGAGTTGCTGCATTACCTTCTGAGCCCGTTGTAAATCGCTAGACCAAATCTGATCGAATCCAATCTGAGACTGGTGTAGAAATTGACCGGTCAATCGAGCTTGCTGAATACCCAGCTCATTCAAAGGGGTATCCTTATGTCCTTGAATGATTTGATTTCGATTGTCATCGGCTGATGGATAAATCAGAGATTACAAAATGGGCGAGAAGAACGGTATTAGCGTGTGACCAAAAAAACAAAAAGATGAATCAAGACAGTTTGAGAGGAACTTGATTAGGAGTTGCTCAACTTTCACCGTGACGCTAGATAGATAGGAAGAGTGAACATGTATGTTGTGATTAAATGAAAGCATTCAGATATCACGAGGATGTTGAGCGAATTCAGGTTGGCCCATCTCGAGGAGAACTGAAGGATTGAGATGAATTAGTGAATCTGATAAGAGGTGGACTGACTATTAGAGTGATCAGCATTTTACTCTGTTCTTGTTATTCTTTCCAAGGTTTCTTTGACCTTCACCTGCTGTCAGCTGATGCCTGCTGGGGTCTTCATGGGTTGAACTCGTCTGAGTCTGAGTTGAGCGGAATCCAGATCTTCCTCCGATGGTCGACCGCGCGGCGCGCACTGCGCTGGTCCCCTCAGCCCTGGATCCAACGAGCGCATACATCCTAGATTTGTACATACGTCATCGCCATCCAATCTGGAACTGGTTGACCACCCAACTAAAAAAAGGTGCCAGCGCGCGAATGGTCAACAAGAAACCAACCCCAACCAACCCCAACCACAACATAACAATACATACACCGGCACACAACCTCACCAAGTGGACAAACAAGATGGCATCCCCTCACCACCTCATCTCGACAACACCTACGAGCGAAATAGGAAACTATCAGGAGACCGACTTGAGGCATCGGCTGGAGGATACCTTCACCTCAATCGGACCAGGCGGAATGCTGGAGCTCTTGGAGAATGAGAAGATATTATATCAGGCCTCACCCCAATCTATCCTCCCACTCGGTCTGTATTCTATCTAAGCTTACTAGGAGCTCTCAGCCATCTTCTCCACAGGGCTAACTCTGCTATCTTGTTGTTCGTACAATTCAGATCAACCAGCAACTACAACGACAGCGACATCACAGCATCAACCGTACCAACCGAACCTTTCTCATTCTATGATCTCCTCATCCGAACTATCAAACCAAACCGATACTCATTCTCAACTCATCAACTCATCTCAACCATCAGCAGATCAGCCAGAACTGTTTGAAAACCTATCAGTTGATCATCACCCCCCTCCACAAGTTCAAAGAAAATTAACCACGATTGAGAATACCCACGAAAATCAACAGATCCCCAATCAAAAACGACCCATAGATGATGTTTACAATCCCCAACCAAGGAAGGCGTCAGTTCCCAAGAACACTCGGGCCAAGAAACCTAAACAAAACCGTCAGTCGACTGATCTGCCATTTTCTCCTCAATACGTCACCATCTATTCTGAAGCTCAGTTTCTCCCTTTCCTTGGCTTGTCTCAGCTAAAAACATTTCACTAATCTCATCGACTGGTCAATCTACAGGTAAAGCTTGCAAAAGTACGGCTCAAGAGGAACTCCAGACTTTTGAGGAACTTTGTGATCTAGATGGAAATCTCCAAAGTGATTACGTGTTGGAATTGCAAACCCACAAGTGCACAACGCTCCCGGCCCATCTGCGCCACTATCGATGCTCGCCTTGTGTTGGAAAACAGACCGGACTTATCTGCTCTTTCATGTTGATCAGACAGTGGATTTGGACGAGAGGCTCACAGAAAAAAATAGTCGGTGGACCAACATTTCCAGCTTCTACTACACAGCCATCTCAACTCAGTTATCAAGCCCCAAAGTTTCCCACCGAATTCAACCGCCTGCCAACCTCCCAAGATCTTGTGGAACTACGCCGATCGCTTGCGACAATTCTCCTGCCTGCGGTAGAAAACGAGTTGGCTTGGTTAGAAGACCCTCAAGTCAAATTTATTGGGCGTCGAATCGACCTAGTTACGAAGTGTGATTACTGTTCAGCTACCTTATTCGGCGCTGCATGGCTCTGCTCCCAATGTGGTGCGGAGGCTTGCACTAGGTGTTTCGAATTGATGGCCGAGCAGATTCAAATTGGTCAAGAGGTGACCAAAGATCTACCCCAAAAGAACATCCACATACATTGGCTTCAACGACTAACGACTTGTACGCAGAAAGTCACTCATGGACCGAGTACCCATGTCAAAATTTCACATATCACCGATCGAGAATTGGACACCCTACGCGGTCAAATGCTGACTCTAACCTCAGTCGAATCAAATCATACCTTACCCCCTTCGACTTCTCCTCTCGAGGATCCGGTACCCTATTCAGTCCCAGCGGACTTGGAACGGTTTTTGTATCAACCCGAGGGTGATCACAGTGAATCGTACATCAAAATCGATGTCAATGATCTGGAAGCAGATCCGAGTATATTCGATCGTCTATGGTCGGCCGGGCTTATGATCTTGGTAACCGGAATGAGTCATCGCCTGAGGAAAGACTGGACACCTGAATATTTTATGAAGGAATATCCTGATGCTGAATGCCAAATGATTGAATCTAACAATCCTAAAGTCTCGCGTCCGACAACCGTCAAGGAGTTCTTCGACAAATTTACAAAGGAGTCATCAGACGACCAAAGTGTCTGGAAGCTCAGAGATTGGCCTCCGGAGGCTGACTTTCAGAGCCAATTTCCGGACCTCTTTCACGATTTTGAACAAGCACTCCCAATCCCTGATATCACTACTCGCTTTGGTATTCGGAACGTGGCTGGGCATTTTCCGACAAATGCAAATGTGCCTGATCTGTTGCGTTTTTTTAATATGCTTTTTTCAAAGAACCGCTCCTTTCTGCTTGATCACTGGACGCTCTTCAATGCTAACGATACACTATGTTTATTGTCCTGCCCTATTCATCATGACTTGTTTAGAGGTCCGAAAGTTGGTTTTCTTTGCTATTTCGTTGATGATGATCCTTCAAAAGATGACCGGCAAATCTCAAGTATTCCACCTAATCCTTCCATCGGCTGTTTTTTAGATGTACATCGCCATGAAAAACTCGGACCAAGCTGGATCGTATGGTTCAACTGTGTTTGCTTCTATCTTGCCTTTCTCTCTGGCTTTCAAAACCAGCAAAAGAAATGAACACTGATTGTTTTTGTTACGCAATTTGTTTAGTCTACACATGGATGTTGCTGGTCTGTAATATATTTTCGCCTCTGGCATGCGTGAATCTACAGAGTCTATCCGTTGTATTCATTCAATCACACTTTCATAGATGCCGTCAACATTCAAACCTATGCGAAGCTGGGTGACAGCGAGGGATGTGTAAGTTTTCACATTTGTTCTGATGCGGGTTTACAAAAAGGTCAAGCAAAAAGGTTTTACTTGCATTAAATCTGCTTCTTTGACAACGCAATCATTTCTTCAGGCACTTTGGCATCTCTATCATGCGAAAGATTCACAAGCTCTACGCGAGTTTCTGTATCAACATCAAGCAGATCTATACAAAACACCAGTTGAAGAAGTCAAACGCAGACTTGATGATCCCATCCACACGTTCGTTTTTTTTGCTAAAAAGAAGAGAAAAAAACTGTTTATTCTAGAGCTTGGATCATTCACGTTGTTTACATGTGATTTGGACTCAGAACGCGAATCTATATAAACGCCGAGATGAGGAAGACTCTGAGAGAAAAATACGGGGTGAAAGGATGGGAAGTCAAGCAAGTGAGCGCTTTCTTCTTGCCCCCGATTTTACCCCTCTTTGTTACGACTTTGAAATTGCTCATTTGTTTTACCATTGATATTAGAAACCTGGCGAAGCTGTCTTTATTCCTGCGTACACTGCACATCAAGTATGTAACTTGGCCAATTGTATTAAAGTAGCTGGTAAAGACCCAATTATTCTCGCTCGCCGAAGGAGATACTCAAAAGCTGATGCAACTCTTCGTATTGATTTCCTCCGCAGCCGATTTCGTTTCTCCGCATTCGATTGAAAGATGCATTAAATTAACTGAGGAGTATAGGGTTCAAAATCATGAACGTCGGAAACCGTGGAGGGAAGATTTACTACAAATCAATCAAATGTTACTATAGTTGGTTCCAATCTGTCTCTTTCATTGCACTCATTTGCATCCTGAAAAGAAAAAAAAAGTTAGTAAGACTGATTAGGTTTTTTTTGTGGCCACCAAGTGCGTTTATGTCTAGCGGTCGCGAACTTGAAGAATTCAAAGTGAAAAACCTCAATCAACATTGATGTTGGGAGTGATCACAACATTAGTACTCTTGGTTATTCATTCACTCGCCCATTTGTCTGATTTCTCATTTTTCTCATTTAATTTCCAGTAAATTGTCTTGAACCCTGAAGATGAATGCACGATTTCCTTTCGCATTTATATTGCTTCACTTGTTCTATACATCAATCTATGTCAAAAAAGAAGAGAAAATATTGTCTGTGTCTAGCTTGGCCTTGAATTATGCAAATGTATCTTTTTTCAATTTTGTTGATGGCATTTCTTTATTTTTGATTTGTTGAGATGGATCAAATTGCAAACCATCTGATGTCAATATGTACAATGCCATGCTAGAACCCATGTTTCATCACATTGTTAAGTTGAATATGGCACAGTAATATGTGTCACGTGAGTTTAGACCAAACATTCTAAGTCAAAAGTGTGATGGCCACTCATCAAATTGACCTTTTAACTTCCTAGGCACCTTGTGTTCACAAATTAAACACAAAAGATACGGGCCTGCAGTGTAATAAGTGTTTGCAGTAGATTACTAGCTCAGCTTGAGACAAATCACACCCCATGGGGCAGATTCAGTCTCACTATTTGGGAGGGATTGACCTTGAAATGTTGAAAAATTGGATGAGAAAATTGTGGTCATAGTGGCCAAATTTTCAAACACAATGTGTCAAAGGTACAGCCAAAACAATTGCTAGCTTGTATACTGTCAGTTTTATTTGGTATAATACAGAAAGACACATTGACCACTTCCTTTGTCCACAGGCTACCACTAATTCAGTGAGAGCCAAATTGAAATTGTTTGTTTGAGGCAAGACAGTTCACCACATTAGCATATTAACGCTTGAGATAGTCAATTTTAATTTGAGTGGTAAATCTACTCATGACGTAAGATTTGTCTCCTCAGATAAATCAATGAAAAATAATGTGGCTATGATAAGCTACTACAGCTTTGGAATCACTGAGAACAAGGCAGAAGTTTCATCAAATATAAAGTATTATTTCAATGTGAAGGAAGATGGCAAATAGAAAAAGAAAATTATGTAAATCCAAAATGATCCAACAGAATGTTGCTAACTTGCTCCAGCCAAACTCTGGTTTCGCCGTGCTCCTAAACTATTATTTGGCTTGAGGCAATCAAACATCAGTTTGTAGATGCAGTAAGATCCCATCAAGCTTTTCCTGAATTTGACCATGAAAATATTGGGGTCGGAAGAGTAATGAGCATTGAGAGGTTACTTGGAAAGTCGGCAACAATGATCCATTCATTCATTCTTATGCGAGGAGATGGTTGAAAAAAAGGACTGCAAAGATAACAGTGGACTCACGAACATTACCACAGGCGTGCAATGCATGAGAAAAAAAAAACTGGAGATTTATTATTATTATTTGAGTACACTTGAAGAGCTTGTCCGTCCTTTGCGACGATAATTGGACTCAGTAGGAGATGAAGCACCATCTGCATCAGCAGCAGTTTTGAAAGGAAGGATATTGAATCAAATGAAATATTGGTTTGCAAGCGTTTTGAATGATGAGATTACGAAATATGGCGAATAGAGAATGAATGATGGGAAAGCCGGCTTGCCACCAACAATATTTCTTGCATGCAGTGCTGTCGATAGTGAATTTTAACTTCTGAAACGCCATCATGCACCCAGCAATCCCTCTCATAAAAGAGCTCAGCGTCTCATCCGCCATATGGATTCATGGCCTTGCCTCTACCTCACAAGCCTCTGTGGCGGTGGGCCACTGTCAAAAGCAGAGCTTAATCCAACTGGATTAGGTCAGAGGAGCGGAGGCCACTCACTCGCGCCGTTGTGTGGGGTGAAGGCGCCTGGGTCGGGATTGATAACATCCTATAACATCCCGTCGTATGTATCTGTATACACATAACCGGCGCTGTCACCTGCCCAAACGATGTTTTCCTCGAGACTGAACTGAAAGGCAGCACGCCCACAAAACACCAGGAAGATAGCGCCCGACATCCCTCCAACGGCAACATTGATTCGTCGCCGCCATTCAAGATCACCAGGCCGCGGGTCCAAGCACGGCCGAACGTCCCTCACATCGGCACAATGCAACAAATTCGCCAGTCCCACGCTGTCTCGACGACATGAGCATCGCGGCTTCGTAGTTGCCGTTGCTCTATGCGGCCCGCCGGACAAGATACGAATCCATTGACTCTGGATGGCCGGCAGCTGGTTCTTTGGTTGGTGTAGTCGGTGACCGTAGGAGTCACCCAGTGCCACTTCAAAAAGAATTGCTACTTGCCCAAAAGTAAGACTGGGCCGGGTGATTATGAAGAGCCGACAAGGAAAGAAGTTGTGGCCGGGTCTGTGCTTTGATGTGTCAGGTTGGCAGCAACAGCCTTCTTCTTCTGCCAACCAATCACAACTTGTCAAAGGATCCATCGGCCGAAATTTCTTCACTTCATTGAGGCCTGACCCGCTAGTATCACTATTCAGTCGGTCTAGGAACAAATTCCCAGGCCATTGTGACTTCATCCAGCTGGAAACACCAAATATCGTGCTGTTAAACCCAGTTTCAATCAAAATTACTCTCTATTTTCAGCCATCTTGGGATGGCGTTCTCCGGTTCCAACCGATGGCCAAGCTACTTGGATGAGTAGCGGATATTCTGATAATTCCTGGGTGGAAAAGGTAGTGACTATCCCGGGGGTAATCACTATATAAGGACCTGAACTTCATCGGTACTATTCCAATCATCCTTCATCCAATCATCCAATCATCTTAACAACTCAGCCTGCCAGCTCCAAAACAATCTTCAAAAGATCCTATTTCAGTTGCACCATCACCACCACCATCTTGATCCTCCTCAAAAAATCTCTGAGCTTTCTCCATCAGTTCTCACACTTGGTCTCCCAGCGGCCTTTCTGATCCCGCAATCAAGTCCGATTTTTAATCAAACCCAACTCGATTCATCTCTGAATATGTTGTCCAACTCCCCAAAATCCACCTACTTTTCCTTCCCTTCCTACAAGAGTCACTTCATCAGTGAAGTCGAAGAGGCACCCATTCCAGTCACCCCAGCACTCTCCCAAAAGTCACTTGAGCCACTGATTGATTGTTCTGCTGCAGCCTACCCCATCATCCAACATGGTTCTCACCTGGAAGCCGAAATTGAACTCATCCTTTACCTGAATGCCCCACGAAAACCGGCCTCGTTATTCTCAGAATCCTCGTCGTCCAACAGTTCCATCCTCTCTACTTCTTCTTCTATAATCAGATCTATCAGAAGCTTGTGGCGATTCACTTAAAAAAGGATCAAAAACACAGAAGAACAAACAGTCTCATCGTAAACAACAAACCCTCCAACTCACAGTTATGGACGGCTCACGAGAACTCGTATGCCAGGATCATCTGGATGGAGTTCACACCAGACATCGCAACAAAATTGCAGCCTCTTTCAGCCTTGGAATGTCCTTCCCTCGTCTCTCCAAAGGCTGGCCCACTCAGCAAAGACTCAAAAGCCGAAAAAAGCCCGCCACTCCAAGATTCAAATCAAACCAACCAGAGGAAGTCCCATTCCCTCATCTCTCTATCTCATCCTCAATGGACATACCGGTGTAATCTTTATCAGCAGTACGACCGGCCTTCCCAGTCAAAGCATCAAGCAATCCGACCCGAGCCAATCTTCCAAAACTGAATGATTAGTTTATCTTTGTCCTATCCTCTTGAATTATCAGTTCCTCTTGAATTATCAGTTCCTCCTGCGTTATAAGTTCCTCCTGCATTATCAGTTTCCCTTGAATGATCAGTTCCTCTTCAATCATCAGCTTCCCCTCGATTATCAGTTTCTCTCTAATTATCAGTTTCTCTTGAATTCTCAGTTTCTCTTTATTCCGTATTACAAAGGCAATCCTTTGCTTTCAGAAAATCAACATCTCTTCCAGATATCTGTCCTACAACTTTCAACTCATCAAATCCACCTTACCAAATCATCAAAGTCAAATCATCAGTGTCTGTTTTAATTGCCATAGGCATTCCATTTGTTTTCTTTTCATTTATTCATTTTCATCTCTCTCTCTCTCTCTCTTTCAATCTCTATCTTCTAGTAGTTGTTGGTCATGTGATCTTCCCAGTCCTGAATAATTCATCCATAAATTATACCTCTTATGACAATTTGAAGTGGAAATCATTTCATGTACTGTGCGGTGTTGAAACCAAGAAATCTAAGCCACTGGTACTCTTGTGTGGGTTGCACCGTGAAGCTGCCTTGGAGATAAAATTGTGTCGTACCTCTACATGGCCAGTGCTGCAGCCTGTCCAAACACCGTTTTTTTGCACTGGACCAAACCGCACCCCCTCGAGGACGGCGTGTGTTGAGTCTTTGTTCAGTAGTTAGGATTCAGCCACATATTTAAACATGCATCTCAATATATCTTTTTTTTGTGATGGGACTTGCTCATTAATTTACGTGAATTTCTTTTTATACAATCCAAAGGAATTATACTATAAACAGATGGATCAAATCAAGATGTCTCCATCAAGTAAGATGTGCAATGACCACACACTGCCAAAACATTAGATCCAGCATGAGACAAGATGGGATGTGGTTGTTAAATAAAACTGATTTAGAAACAAAAAAACAAGATTGGATCGTCTATATTTTCTTTAAAAGTCTCACATGATTAAATTACTAGTAGTGATGAGTGGCTGGTTAGTATCATGGATACAAGCGCTAGATTAAATCAGGCAGGTAAGGCAAATTATGACAAGGCCAAAGACTTGCTTTTTTCCGTGACCAGCTAGTCTCGAGGGAAATCGAAAGAAAGCAAAAGGGAAAATAAAAAGGAAAAGAAAGGGGGGGGGGTCGAGGTCCATGCTCTTTGACCATCCCTGAAGGATTGTTTCCAGCTCCTGCTTTCTGCCATGCTTTGTTCTTGTCACTTCTGTATCATTAGGCTTGACCCAATTTCAGAAGATCTGTTCCAAATTCTCAAGAGATTTGAAGCTTGAATCAACCATCACAAAACAAATTGAATCCTTCAACCATTTTGTTTTTTGAGTCAATCATCAAAATCACTCATAAAATCCAATAGCTCTGAAGACTATTGAAGTCACACTACTGGATGAATGTATCTGATTTATTAATGCTACACATGTGTTTTTAAAGATCTAAAAAGCAACTGGCCTTTCTAGCATCTGAAACTGGGAGAGCAAACCAACCATTAAAATGATTCTACTGATTGCAATTTGCTTGTATGTATGTACAAAATATCTTGTCCTTTGGTCACATGATTCAAGAGTAACGATAATAATCAAAAATTACACAACAAAAACCGAAGTTAATTGAGAAGGACTCAATCATGTCAAATACAAATGTGAGATTGAGAGTAAAAACATAAGAATTAAACAAAGGAGAAAGAAAGAAAGGTCTAATTTATTCAAGAAGGCAAATATTCATCGTTTTCGTCGGTGAGTAAGATTTCCATCTCTTGATGGCCGATTGAAATCAAAGAGTTGCTTTGAGCAGTTTCAAGTACTTGATTAACATTAGCTAAAAATCGGTCTGTGTATGATTTTATTCCGTGATAAAAAAAAAGATAATTGAGGAAATTGATCAGCGGAATTTTCAGTCAAAAACAATTGATTGAAGATCACTTGAGAATCAAAGATGATGAATAAATAAGGGACAGACCTTCGCCGACCACACTGACGATCCCAGCTTTCTTGAATACTTCATAGCGACTAGGCTTGATGTGACAAATCCAAACGATCACATGTCGATCGATGTACTCTTGCAGGATTTCTTTCAAGATCTGCAGAGCCGAGACATCGATTTTATCGACATCTCCCAGATGGAAGACAATCATCCTGGTATCCTCTCGTTCTCGCTTGGCCGAAGGATGTCTTTTTTTGTAACCAACTAAAAAGATGACATCCAGGTTAGAGAAGGGTGATAACGGTGATCTGTAAAAACGGGGTTTGATGAAATCTGGATGCACGCACACATTTCCAATCGCCGCAATCTTTCTTTCAAACCACCTACATTAGCAAAACTAAGTGACTCTCTGATCTTGACAATCAGTACGCCCGGAATTTCTTCTTCGATTTCCCTGGCCACCTCTTCACTTTCAGTCTTCTTGGTATCGATCGGCTCCCAGGTGCGAGTGATTGGATCACGACCTAAGATTCTGACTCTCATCGCAGTGGCATCTTTAATTGTTAGAATCAAGCTGACTACAACGGAAATCAGGGATACCCGTTTTGATGTCATATACCAAGGTTAACAAAAATGTTGTCTAAGAATCAGAATTCAATTTGACCATTAATTTTTTTATCAATGATGGGAGAGTGTATTTTTGTTTTCAGTCGATAGAGAACATCAAAATTAGAATATCTGACTGGAAATTGTGTTCAGATTGACTTACGGTCATCAGAGCTAGCTCAGTCCAACCTCCCAAGTTCCAAAAAAACATAAAGTCTTCCGGAAGTTCCGCGAATAAATTGAAGACCACCAAAGAGATCACGACTGCCAAAACGCATTTGCAGAAAAGAACAGATAGTCCAGCAG